GAGTGTGTCCGCGATGCGTTCAGCGTGACGGATATAGGGAGCCACAACATGGAGCATACAGCAGGGCAGCGAAAGCAAATAAAGCAAAAAACACGAACATTATTTTATCTTAATTATTTACATCGGACCACAGTAGACGCACACATGTCCCCGTGGCTGAGTGGTGGCACGCACAGCCCGCATACAATTCTTCAGCCCAGAGCGGTGTACGCCAGAACGGATACGGCAAGCACCAGCGGGGCACACACCCACGCAGAGCTGCTGAGGCTGCCGTCAATTTCGCGAAGACGTGACGGTGCCTCTGTGGTTGTAGTTGTAGTCGTCGTGGTTGGCGCCTCTGTATTCATATTGTTTGGTGCTTTTGTTGTAGTTGTAGTTGCTGTCGTGGTCGTCGTTTTTTCCAAAGGAACCCTCAATTTTGGGTTTGTTGCAGATTGATCCACATCGCTTGTTTTCCCTGGCTCACCGGACGCACCTGATGCACCTTCACTGTTGGAGATCACATCGGTGGTCCGACCTTGTATGTCTTGCGTACCGCCCTCACTTTCAACCTCTGACTCTTTGGTCGTCAGGTCTGGGCTCCCACTTGTTCCCTTCTGCCTACCGTTTGTCCTACCTTCACCCTCTTGTGGATCATAGTTTGTGCTGGGGTTATCTTCTTCCGTTGTCGCACACACGGACGGGCAGTAGCACAGGGCGAGCACCAACAGGGCGCACAGCAGACGGCATGTCACCATCGTGAGTGTGGTCGTTCAGTGGTGTGGAGCTGATCTCCACAGCGAGGGACGTGGAGAGCAACAGGGAGACGAGAGGTGCGGCAGACACACACAGAGGGCACACCACATGAGGAGAGGGTAGCAGCCAGGCATGCACCGTACGCCGCACACCACGCACGACACACACTCCAATCCACGGCGGCAGGCACACACACACACAGCCCTGCCGCAACACCAACACACAGATGGAGGAGGGAGAAGCAAGCAGGAGCGGCACACAAGGCTCCACCGCACGCACATACGGCGAGAGCGGTCCGTCGTGTCTGCACCCCGCACGGAGGGTACGCACACACACAAGAGGAATAGATGCAGCGCACACAGCAACGCAAAAGCAAAGTAACAGTAAAAAGGGAATGATCCCCACACACCACGTGGATTGTTGTTCCGCGGGAAGCACAGCCAACAATTCGGTTTGTGTTCTTCCTGCTTTTCGCTGGTAAAGTGCTGCAATAGATGTTTGTTTTTTCCTTTCGTTGCTGTGGCACCTGATTCCTCACCGTTTACTGCGGTGGAAATGAAAATATGTGAGTGGACTCCCACACACCAGAACGCACCTTCGCTCCTATTTATTGGTGCACGGAAGGGCATGTGTGTTTGGTGGTGCCTCGACCACATATTCCTCTGGGTGCACATTCCCCTGCAGGCTGAGGGCGGGGCGACGCTCCGTCGCGGTGCACTCCCCTCGCATGCCGCCCACTGTGATTCATCATGCATCACCCTCTCACACATACCGTGGTGCCACACCGCTGATATTACTGCAGCTGCTGTGATTCCGCGTATTTCACGCATTTGATTGTGCCACAATACATCCGCTCGTGTGGCCGCCGCATCCAAACAGCGGTGCCCAACACCGTGAGCGGCAGTCCACATCCTTGCATGTCCCAACGCAGTGGTGTTTGACTGTCAGCCAGGCGACACACAACAGGAGAGTATTGTGCTGGCAGTACAACACACGGAGCTGCAGTGAATGACTCGGGCGGCGACGCATCCATTTGTCGCAAGGCAGTGAAAAGGAGTCGGGCAAAATAACGCCGGCTGCATTCACGACACCACATCCACAGCCGAAGCATGCGACGTGATGTGTGTTTCACTGGTGCTGTGAAATGCCTGCAGACGACGTCACTAGTGGAGGCATGCCACCCATGATCAGCGGACAGACAATAATCGGCATGGGAGGCCACAAAAGGCAGCAACGACGCCAGCAGTAGGAGCAGCTCTCTCTCTCTCTCTGTTGCATCCGAGAAGTAAATATTCCACCAGCCACAGCTGACTGTGCCATCGTGACGCTCCATGAACGTCGTGGCTGCGCCAACACATCCTGTTCCCTGCAGCGCCTCAAAGATGCCTCACTCCGTCCACTAAGTGCATCGATGTGGGCGGTGCCTGCGCTGTTCGTGAGGACCACAACGATGTGAGGGTCACCGAGTCGCAGCATGTTTGTTGTGACGTTGTTGCATGGCACCTGCACACACACACGCAGCGCCTGCATCCCTCCCTTTTGTGTTCGCCCTCCGCCGGAGTGGCCACACACACGGGCAGCAGCAAAATCACTTCACCCTCGATGACACAAAATCAACACTGACATCCCTCGCGACGCAAAGATCCCGGTTGCCAGCACGGGCTTCCTGCCGCTCTGCCATCGACGATGAAACACGGCACAGTGCACGCACTCATTTCCCTCGTCTGCAGTCAGCCGTTTGCTTCACACATTCTTCAATGGGCTGACGTCCATAAATGCACGCCACAAATGCCACGGTGATCGCGCACGCTCTTGCGATGAGCGTCGGTGTGTGCATGGACCCGCTGCCCACACGTGCTGGCAGGCAGTCTGCAGCCGGTGCCCTCGTGCCAGTTCATCGGCTCCAGCACGGAAAAGAGAAAGTGGCCAATTCCCGATGCACTTATTCTCACCGGCAGCACCAACACGCTGGTCGCCAGCCGTCATTCCTCAGCAAATCCAGGAATGCTGAAAAGTGACGTGGAACTGCCAGCCAGCAATGCCAAAATCCCCGCACACATGTCGGCACCACCAGAGAAGACACAAAAATTACAAGCGACACCCCTCACATGTCATCCGAACGTCATTCCGACACACCGCAACACGCCAAACAGAAGTATTCGTCACTCCATGCACCTTCCCACACAATCACATAGTCCAAGCACCACGCACGGCAGCAGCTCACACCCGTCAAACAAATGTTCTTCGGACCAGTGTTGTCCACGTGCTGCAGTGGGAAGTAAACAAAAGAGACGAGCCGCCAAACCCCAAAATAGTGCCACGACTGGCTGCAAGTCAACGGAACGCAGCCACTCAAATGAATTCAGTCCTAATGCCCTCAACCTCCCACCTTCTCCCACAAAAGCCCCAAGAGACGCAAATCAAACGCCCCGTCAAATAAAGTCGCTGTGCAACACCAAGTGAAGCCGCAGTGCCTCCTGCTGTCATCCGGGACCGTTGTGGACGCCTTCACGGGGACAGACACCCACCGGATATTACGAACGGCGCTGTACGCCTGCGACGCATCATACGGTTTGGGAGGCACGTGCCTCACTATCACCAGAGACGCCCACGCGCCGTCGGACGCCCCACACAACCAATGACGCAAGTATACGTCAGAGTGACAACGAGACATCCGCTAGCAATCACACCGCAGGCATCATCGCAAGCAGCACCAGCAGCGCTGCAGTCAACTGTGGGGTGCCATGGACCAACTGACGCATGACGTATGTAGAAGAAAGAGCGTGACGGCTTTAGAAGGATACGAGTAGCTAACACTTCCTTAACAGGATGAAAACAGTATGGAAACAATAAGAAAAATTCAGGCGTCCACAGTCAAAGCAAGCCGCCGATCAAAAAAGCGGAATGGATGCACTCAAACACAACACAAAACAATGAAAAAAACAAAAACAAGAAACCGAAGCGTGGGACGACCAGCGCACACACACTCATTGCTCCCGTAAAGCAAAACACACACACAGAGGGAGAGAGAGAGAGAGGTCGCCCACTCAATGCAATGAAAACAAAACAGAAACAGTTACGGTGCTCCGCCCATGCAGCCAGGCAGGACGGCAGCGGTGCGTGTCGTGCAAAAGAGAGCACCAACGGGACTGCATGGGTGTGCATGCATATATACAATGGGCACATTATGCGTGTGCCTCGTGGGGTGAGGTAAGGGCGAGAGTCCATGCAAGGGGACACACACACAGAGAGAGAAGGACGAGTGTGTGTGCGGGCGGTGCACGGCTCTCTCCCACACTCACTCTCACACGGCCACCACCGCAGCAGCAGCCGCACACGCAACAAGAAGAAGAAGAAGAGGGGAGGTGGCGTGGGAGACCGCGGTGCTGCCATCACTGTCGCCTGTATTTGCGGTGGCATTTGTACGAAGGGCGTTTTTATCTTTCGCTGCAGCATCCGGAGTTCGAGCATCGGCAGTTGTCTTCGTCCCTGTGGATTGTTGTTCCTCCCCAAAAGGGGAAGGTTCTTCGCTTGTAGATGGCTCAGCTTCCTGTTCTTGACCGCCAGTTAATGTACTCTGCACCGCACCTTCTCTAGAGGCAGGATATTCCTTACTTTCCTTTTGTGTTTCGGGTAGGTTCGTGGATGTATCCGTGTTTTGGCCTTCATTCGTCTTTTGTTCCGGAGTTAACATTTCATTTTTGATTTTGTGCTCCGGCGGTACTGTGTTTGGCACTTTCGTTTGGGCCTGTTCACTGCTTTCTGATTCTTTACCTGGAACATTTAATGAGTCTTCTTTTCTGGGGGCCTTTGGATCATTGTTTCCCTTATTTTCCACTGCCAATGAGGACTGACCTGCTCCACCCTTAGTGTTCTCGCCAACACCTTTACCCTTTTCTGAAGAAGAAATGTGTGGCTGAGGTGAGGATGGCGGTTGTGACTGTTGCGGTTGTGGCTGCGGTTGCGGTGACACATTTGCTTGCGATTGTAGCGGCACTATTCCTTCTTGTTCTTCTTTTTTTAATTTCAGCTTTGTTTTTTCATTTTCTGGAGCATCTTCCGCAGGATCTTCCAAATGCTCTGAAGGACTCCCATCTTTTTTATCCTTCCCTCTGGAAAGAACATCCCGTTGAGCAGTGCTAACTTCTTTTCCTTCCAAAGATTTTACTGCAGATGTTCCTGTTGCTTGATTAACATTGAGCACATCATTTGGTGGTTCTGAGGCATCTGGTCCTGGCGCTGAAGATTCAGAAGACTCCACCGCGCTTCTACCACCATTCCCAACAACACCACCGGCAGGACCTCCCGCCTCCTCGTCACATATACCGCCGGCAACGCACCACAGCACGCAGAGGGCACACACCAGCAGCACACGGCCGGCCATCATCATCGCCATCACTCCTGTCACTTGCGTGCAGCCTTCAGCACAAACTAACAACACGTCAACGCAGAGCAGAAGTAAGGAGTGAAAAGTAACACAACAGCCACGCCACAGTCACAAACGGCAGCCCACACAACACTCTTCACATTTCATTGCGGCATCCGGCCTGTCTCTCCAATCCTCCATTCGTGCAGTCCGTGGGACGCACAGCAATGAGGCCGGCACCGCGTGTGGGCAACAGAAACAAAACAAGAGGAGAAGCACGTCATTCATGACAGTGTGCAGCAACCGACCATTAAATAAAGGAACAGCAAGGATGCTTATCGTTCCAGGAAGGCAACAAAACCAACAGTAAAATGTAAATAATAAAAGAAAACACGCAGGGAACGCGGCACATGTTCTCTGCGAGGAGTCGCAATGCCACACTCTTCGGCTCACAATACCGCCACAACTCCACACAATCCCAGAAGAAGCAGCAACACCCAATACACGCACACACGCACAGTGCTGCCAACAGTTAACTCTCGCAGTGTCAATTTCGCGTCGTTGAGCGGGGCAAAGCAGTCGTGTAGACTCGCACCGCTCCCGGAATACTGCGCGGTGAATTCTCGTAATTGGGGTTTGCTCTCGTGTCCAGAGGCGTTGCGTTGAATCAATCCGCCCGCATCACCATCAGCAACAAATCCACTGCCTGCAACGCCATTTTCTGAAGAAAGGAGTTTAGTGTCCATTGGCGCTGCGCTCACTCACCTCGTCCGTGTTATCCGCAGCAACGTTTTCCCTGCCGCCATAAGTGACAGACACGATCCCGGATGCATTCGACGCCACTACTATTCTCGGACCGTTTGCGAAGGAAGGCCTCTTCTTGGATGCTTTCGGGACCATCACTTCGTTCGGATTGCTGGCAAACTCAGGCCTCGTCCCGGAAGTGTTGGTCGTCGTGTTGGATGCGGGACTCGGATCGACGGTGTTGGGTCCGTCAGCCGCCGCAGACAGTCGCCGATCCTCGTGTTGACGTGACGGCTCAGCATTGACTTGCGGCGCAGTTGTCCCACCAGATTTTGTGTCATCCTTCCCTTCACGGGGCGGCGGCAACCGACAGATGCCCGTCTGGTCAGCATCGCTGCTCCGTGCAGGCGGATGGATGGTTCCATCGGGAGGAAATTGACGCCACCACAATTCATAAGGGCCGGCGTATTTATGTGCCGTCACATTCATCGTGAAGGCAACGGTGGCCCCTTCCTCTTCCGTTGCACAGCTGGCAGCACAGTTGCTACATGTGTGCACCGCATGGGCCACATGGCACACAGCACCCAGCTCACCATTCCTGCCATGCATGCGCACATCAAAGCCACTGAAAGTGTAATTCTCCTACTGAGCCTCAGCACCGGCAGCAGAACACTACTTCCACGCCCACACACACACGCACGCGATAGCTCAGGCTGCCGTCACTCGGAGCACACGACACATCCACCGGCACAACCACCGCATCCGCATCACCAGATACATCTCCAGCACTCCCAGCAGCCGTCACACACACGGACGAGCAGCAGCAGCACAAGAGCGCAAGGACCAACACGGCGCCGCACCGTCACCATCGTCACCATCGCAGTCATCGTCACGCGTAGTGGAGTCGCTGGAGTCAGTCAGCTGATCGGTGAGGCAGAAGAAAAAGAATGCAACAAGAGGGAGAGGGACGGAGCACAGCGGATGCAGCGAGAGAGCAGACAACATGAGGAGTGGCAGCAGGCCCAGCCGCACAGTTCACACACCACGAGACGGCATCCACGCAAGGAAGGCACACAACGCCAGCAGCCGCCCACCATGCAGGAGGAGAAGACATCCACCACCATCTCCATCCAGCTCATCTCCACACCCAAAGGGAAACAGCAAAAACCCGCGGCCACCACACCAGCCACAACAGCAAAGAAACCCTCATCCATCCATGACGCGGCACCAAAATTTCCAGCCATCCCGCCCTCAATGGGACACGGAGCCCAACTCAACGCAGTCGCACGCGGTGCATCACACCCGCAGGAAAAGGAGACTCGGACTGCGCACTCCTGCCCCTCCCTTCTCCTCATGGCCACGGAAGAAGACAACAGCCGCCACACGCAACTGCCAGCATGCACTGCAAAAGAAGCATTCAAATCCACTGCAATGTGCATCTTGTGGTTGTGTGGTTGTGTGTGCCTGCAGAAACACAAAACAAAACAAAAAAAAACAGCGACCAGAGCATGTGGAGAGACGCACAAAAATGTACAGCGGAGATGCATGGCGGAAACAAGAAGAAGACCGCTCAAACTCATGACTGCACTGCAGCCCAAGCAGCGGCAATTCACAAAAGATTTATTTAAAACCAAAAAAAAAAAACTTTCCCCTTCGTCTTAAATAAACCCCATCACACAAAATAATTATAAATAAAAAAAAGAAATCGTCCATTACTGTTCCACACAAATTTAAAAATCGCCGGCTGCCGTGTGGCCACACCAAACTGTCCGCATTTATTTTGCCCGCAAAATAAAATTAAAAGATATTTAAATGTCTTTCAACCGTCCGACCCTCTGCGTGTCCGCACATCGTTTATATTTCATGCGGTCATCTGCGTGTTGCCGCTCCCCTCAGCCCCCTCATCGGCGCGTGAGTGCGGCCCGCAGAGCACAGTCACTCGTGTGTGTGGGGACTGAGAGAAGCACGCAGACATGACGGGAGTCGCGTCACTCCATCGGGAGAGTGAGCGCAGCAAAAGAAAAAATCATCGGAGGGGAAAAGAAATGCTCACGAGGCCGACACCGAAGGGACTGCCGGCGCGAGAAATGCACACGCAAAGCAAAAAAAAATTACTTTAAAGAAAAACACGGCGGCAGGGTGTGGCTGTGTGTGTGGCGCTGCGGGTGTCTGCCAGCCCTGGCCGCAAAGAAAACAAAACAAGAGGAAAAGAAATGTGTGCGCCGCCCCACAGGCCCTCGTCGCACGCCCACACGTCACGGCTCCCTCAGCGCGCCGTTCTTCGCGGCCCCTCCTCATGCGTGCAGCAGGCGAGGCGCACAGGGCCGTCGTCATGAGCGTGTCGGTGGGTGTGCGAGTGCAGCAGTTGGGCGGAAACACACGGCACCCCTCGCAGGAAGAGTGCAGCAACAAACAATTAAAAGAGGGAAGAGTAGAAAAGAAAAAACGTCCATAGTGACTGCCCCCAAAAGCAAAAAAGAAAGATGAGTGAGAGATTAAAAAAAAACGGACAAATTAACAACAAAAAAAGACTAGCAAAAAATTTAAACCAAACAGTAAAAGAAATTGAACTTACAAAAAAACAAAACAAAAAGCCGAAGCGTGGGACGACCAGCGCACACACACTCTCATTACTCCCGTAAAGCAAAACACACACACAGAGGGAGAGAGAGAGAGGTCGCCCACTCAATGCAATGGAAACAAAACAGAAACAGTTACGGTGCTCCGCCCATGCAGCCAGGCAGGACGGCAGCGGTGCGTGTCGTGCAAAAGAGAGCACCAACGGGCCTGCATGGGTGTGCATGCATATATACAATGGGCACATTATGTGTGTGCCTCGTGGGGTGAGGTGAGGGCGAGAGTCCATGCAAGGGGACACACACACACAGAGAGAGAAGGAAGAGTGTGTGTGTGCGGGCGGTGCACGGCTCTCTCTCCCTCACTCTCACGCGGCCACCACCACCGCAGCAGCAGCCGCACACGCAACAACAAGAAGAAGCAAAAGAGGGGAGGTGGTGTGGGAGACCGCGGTGCTGCCGTCACTGTCACCAGTCGTCGCCGTTGTATTTTTCATGGCTGTGGCTTCGACTGGTGTTCCTTTTGGATTGGCTTCTTTGTTTTCATTTTGTTTTCCCTCTGCTTTCCCTGCGGCATCGGCTGCTGGATCATCGTCTCCAGTTTTTTGGGTGCTTTTGGGATTTGTTATATTCGATGCTCCCTCCGCGCCAGAAGATAAACTTGGCTGCTCTTGACCGTCTGCTGGTATCCCCTCTGCGGTGCCGGTACCAGCGTCTTCATGCTTTTTCTTCTCTTCCACTCCTTCTTCTTCCTCTTCTTCCCCCTCCTTTTTTTTTCCGCTTGATTTTTCTTCCCTTGTTTTTCCGTCCCTGCCGTTTCTGGGGCATGTGCCTCGGGTTTTATTGCCATTTCCGCTCCCGGTTCGGTTGCGCCTTGCACCGATGATGATGTTTCTTTTAAGACCTCCGATTGACCGCTTAGACCACCTCCTCCAGCGCCGCCTCTGGAATTGTTGTCATTTTTAGGGCTATTGTCTTTAACGGGCGGAGAAGCCGGAGAGGCTTGAGGTGTTTCAGCAAGTCCACCACAGCAGGCAACGCAACACAGCATGCAAAGGGCACATAGCAACAGCACACGGCCGGTCATCATCATCACGGCTGCGCACACAGTCTAGAGGGGCACGGAAAGGAATATGAGAAGAACACACACATCATCAGCAGCATGGAAAAGAAGTAGTGGAGTTTACGTGAGGGTTGTTGTCATGGGCATCGGTGACGCGTGCACGCAGGAAAAACAGGCAACAATGAAACACCGGACAGCACGGCACACAACTCCACGGCATGTAAAACCCACCCGCAGCTGCCCCCAGAATGGACGGGAAAGAGGGCGCAACAATACGGCAGGAACACAGTGATGCCGGTGCAGAAAAGGATCCCAAAACGGCGTGAAAAAAAAACAAAAAACAGTCTTCCCCCGCAGCGGCCACATCCAACAACGCAAGTAATAATAACAGAAACAAACACCACACACGGCAACTCACAGGGCAGTGAGTTCCCTGTCGCCAACCTTCATGGCTGCTCGCCCACTCACCTATCGGGTGTCCATCGCTCCGCCGCCTTCTTCCTTCCCGCGGCACACAATCGGGTCCATCCACACCCGTCGCCACGCCGCCTTCAACGACCCAACAGGCAACCGCCCAACGACTGTTGCAGACATCACACACCCGCGCCAAAGCACGCGACGCAACATCATGTCACGTGGCCCCTCCG